TGTGCCCTGACCGACAATCAAACCATGACCTCCTGATTCATAGGTTGATACCCAACCACTGAGCAACACCGGTCAGGCTCCTTGATTGTACTTTGATAGTAAATATTATAGACTATTCTATTATAAATTACCTCAAAGGAAGATGAGGAGCCATGCCTCATTGGAAGACACTGAAATCTTCAGAGGGACAGGTGAGGGCAAAGGATGGGGTGAAGAGGGCAACACTCAAAGTTGAGGAATTGATGGTTCTGGGAGTCCTGGTCAGGACTCTGCAGCCCAGGTTCAACTCCCTGCCCCACCATGAGCTACATGACCTCCTCGGTCTTATCTCCTTCATACTAAGGGCGATGGGTGGTGGATGCGTGTATTTCTGCCTGTCCCTCATACTCTGGTAACAGCATCCTGGTGTTCCTGTGGGATCCACCCTTTATTCAGTCTTGGTCCCCCGCTTCCTGGCTGAAGGAGTACAGTCCATATCCCTCTCACAGTGATTGAAACAGGGATGGGCACTTGATCAGTAGGCCCATGATGTTAATTAGCTTTGGGACTTTTCCTGGGTTATTAGAAAAGAGATGCTTTTTATGTTCCTATTTGTTGTTGTTGAGTTTCACGGGTGGGAGGTTATAGGCCTAGAGCAGCAGTGGGCAAACTACGGCCTGCGGGCCGGATCCTGCCCGTTTGAAATGAATAAAACTATTGAAAAAAAAGACCGTACCCTTTTATGTAATGATGTTTACTTTGAATTTATATTTGTTCACACAAACACTCCATCCATGCTTTTGTTCCAGCCCTCCGGTCCAGTTTAAGAACCCATTGTGGTCCTCGAGACAAAAAGTTTGCCCACCCCTGTCCTAGAGTGTCTGGTGGCTGGTGGGCACCTTTGAAGAAACCAACACCGAAGGAAGAGAGTAAGAGCCATCCTACTGACATTGCGGGTGCCTGGATCCAGCCAGGCCTGAGCACCCCTACCTCGGGACCTCCTAGTTGTGTGGCCCAATGAATTATTTTTGCTCACAGTGGTTTGAGTTGGGTTTCTGTACACATGTCAGTTATTGTCCGCTCATGAGCCATGGTCTCCAGGTTCAGTCTCTGCCTCCAGCAGCCACTTCCCTGGGGCTACCGTAGGGAAGGGCTTGGTCCCTTCGAGGTGACACAGCTGGCAACATCAGGAGGCTGCCCAGCCCAGAGGGCCCTTGTAGCTGTTCTACTAGCCCTGGTCAGGTGCCAGGAAGGAGGGCAAAGCGCAGAAATGAAGGGAAGAGAAACTTAGTGCCTCCCCCTGCTCCACTTCATGGATATGAGTCATCAGAGGAGGCTGGATGGGGTAACACTCAGGAGGGGAGAGAGAGAACACTCAAGGGCCATCTCTGCTCCCTGCATTAAGGCTCTCTTTTTGGCACGAATATGTCACCTCCGACATTAAATACACCTGCCTAATAAAAGTGTGGGTGGGGTAGGGTGGGGAGGAGAAGAACTGTATCCCCTCAAGGCCTTGGGTGCCTGTCTCTGTCACCATGAGGTCTTCTGACATATCCTCCCCACCCTGGGCCCCTCACTCCCTGGGTGGCCCCTCTCAAGGCTTTGACTGTCTCCTCTCCCTGTGGAGACACACACTGTGAGCTGAGTAACTCCCTTCACACGGGTGCTCCCTCTGGGTGGCGCTGGAGTCGTGTTCCTTCTGTGGTCTCCTCTGACCTAGTGCCTGGCCGCTTGCAGACGGAGGGCTTAGCCAGCTACAGGTAGCTCTGCTGAGCCGGGTGGCCGACCGGCCCCGGGCTGTCACTTGGCAGAGGCCAGTCAGTACTGGTTTTACTCAGCTCTGGTCAGGCCTCCCTGCCCCAGGAAAGCCCCGTCCGGACCGCGGCGTCAGCTCTGCCATCTGAGAGGGACTGTTACCCTGGGCCTCTCCCCGCTGGAAACCACAGAGGTCACTGGAAACAGCTGCCCGGGTGCACACGCACGCACGCACGGACACGATGCCAATAGGGCTCGTGACACGTACGTGTTCACAGATGCAGAGACACATGCGGAACCCAGGGGACCACAGGGTTGTGGAAAGGCCTGGGGCTGGCCGCAGGGGCATTCATGCTGCAGACAGGCCCCCTCTGAAAGGTCTGCTGCTAAGCTCAGGCACCGCAGAGGGGGCCTCTGCTCAGCCAGATGTTAGAACAGAGGCAACACACATCCCCCAAAGTAAATGAGGCCAAAGACGGAACAGGAGTAGGAAATCCCGAACTGCAAAGTCCCAGGAAATGCCTAAAGCCGAAGTGAAGTAGCAGCTGTCTGTCCCGCAGGAGGGGAGGGACCCGTTTTGTATGCTGGGCCCAATTCCAGGTTGGGTAGCAGCCGCTGGGCTGTGGGAAGGAGCCTGGGGGGAACTTCTGCTCTGGGCCTGGCCCATGAACCCCAAGGGCCCCATCTTGCCGCCCAGTGTCCCCCGCCCCCGTTCCCCACCCACACTCACACACGCAGCGGCTCCTCGAGGGATCCAGCATGAGGCCGGGCTTGCAGGTGCACAGGTAGCTGCCCCTGGTGTTCACGCACTCGGAGTCCCTGCACAGGCCCAGGGTCAGGCACTCGTTGATATCTGCAGGGTTGGAGGAGATGACCATGGACCCGCCCCATGAGGCCTGATGGAGGGAAGGGCTGGGGCAGAGATCGTCAAATACTTTCTCCAAGGAAAGGGACAACAATAAGAGAGCTGCCCTTTATTAAGTTACTCCCTCCCTCTGTGCCTCACTTTCCCATCTGTAAAATGGGGTTAATAAGAGTAACTACCAGATAGTCTCCAATAGGAGGACAAAACAAACTAAAAATGGCAAATAACTTGGCCCTGTAGCTGGTAATAATGATCATAATATTAAGAGCTAATGTGTACTGAGCGCCTCTTATGTGGCCGGTGCTTCACATGTGGCACCTCATTTAATTTCACAAACAATTTCAACCAAACAGGTCCACATGTCCTCATTTTATAGATGGGGAAACGGACGCCCTGGGAATAACTTGCCCAAATCCACTCAGCTAGTACGTGACATGCTGGGATGTCAACAGGGGACGCGGATAAGGGGACAGCTGGGGTTGGAGGGTGGAGACGGGCTTCCTAGTCCCTCCTGTTCAGCCTGCCTTGAGAGACCCAGAAGCAGCTCCCAGGCCCAAGTCTGGGGAACAGGCACGCAGGGAGCTGCAGGATGGAGGTACCGATCAGGGGGAGGAGGCAGGCGCTCTGCAATCGTTTAGGTGTCTGTCTCCACCTGGGGCAGCAGCCATGTCTAAGCCATCCCTGTGTACTAGCACCTGGCACAATGTATGCAGCTTAGAGTGACACCCCAAAATTACCCCGAGGGAGTAGGAGAGAAGGATGGAGAGAGAGCAGAGGTGGCACACCTGGGTGCAGAGTTGGGGGGGGGTCCCTTTGCAGACATGGAGACCACCACCCCAGACTCAGGAAGGGGGAGGTTTCAGGGGCAGGGCCTCCGGGGGAGGGCCCCTGAGCACCCTGTACCCTAGGGCTCAGTGGCTGGAGAGCAGAGCTCACCTGAGATTCTGGAAATAAACTCACCTTCCCGGGCTGGGAAAGCACTGCATACATTTAGGGATGAACAGCTTTACCGCACCTTCCAAGGGCAAAACTACAGACATCTATCCCCACTGCTGTCCCCCAGGCCCTCCGCCCACTGCCCCTGAGGAAGGCGGACCCTGGGCTGGGCTGGGCTGGGTCAGAGGTCTGCCCTTGTGCCTGGTGCAAGCCCCTTTTCTTATCCACAGGCCAGAAATCTCCTCTGGGGCCTGGCAGGTAGCCCTGCCACCCCAGGACGTCCTCAGGCTCCACCCCCATGAGGCAGCCTCCAGGGGGAAGGCACCTAGGAGGCCACCGGGGTCGAGCCCTGGTCTCTCACCCAGCTTCACCCAAAGTAGCCAGACAGATGGCGGTACGTCCCAGGCAGCCTCCCCTTTGGGAAGCTCAGTTCCTCGCTGACCTCCGCCAGCCCCAGAAGCCTCTCACGGCCGAAAGGCCCGCTCCTGTCACACCCACTGCCAGGCTCACAGCCCACAGGGCTTCTCACTCAGAGCCTGAGCTGCTGAGTGGCAGCTGCCTCCTTGGTGAAACCTCTGGACCCCTCAGTCCCGGTCCCACGGCGCACCCCACTGGGATCCCCTGCAGAAGCCATAGCTGAGCCCCCCTCCCACCCTCTGTCCCAAGGTGCCCCTGGGCCTGGCTGCTCAGGCGCTTTCTAATGCAGAGCACCTTGGGCCTCAGCTGGCCTTACAGAGCCGGTCATCCAGGCCAGCCCAGCAAGGCCAGTCCCCTCTCCTCTATCTGTGCCTCCTCCCCACCCCTACTCTCCACCCCCCACCCCTGCCCGGCTGTGGGTTGAGGCAGGCGAAGCCCTGAAGGTGCTTATTGGGCAATGTGCACAGTGGTCTCTGCTAACTCAGGCGGACCTGGTCTCCCACCCTGGAGTCCAAAGTCTTCCCATCCAGGGAGGTCAGCCCCGGAGGCGAGTGGATGCTGGGGAAGTGGGGTGGCACCCTCAGATATGGCATCACACATTCCATAGAGGCACCTGGCCCAGGTCCGGGAGAGGGCGGGTGGAGATGGGGAGGGAGGGATGGGCTTGGCTGCAGGTCCTTTCTCAGGGTGACCTATCCCATCCCCTGACTCCTTAGGCCTCTGGAACCTGCAAACCCCAAAGCTTCCCCAAGCTGGGGTCTAGAGTTCCCCAGGGGGACCACGCAGGCAGCGTCCATCGATGATGCAGGGTGGGTAGAGGTGTTCCTGCATCCTCAGGCCTCCATCACTTCCCTTCCCCGAGCCCAGCCGTGGCCCTGGTCATCCTTACCTTGGCAGTGAGTGAGGTTGAGTCTCTTGTACCCCTGGGGACACTCCAGCTGGCCATTTTCAATCACTGGAGAGGCTGAGGAGTGAAGGTACAGACAGGTCTCAGTGAGGGCCCTTGGTCTCCTTTGTCACCCACGCTGGGGGGTGGGGTGCAGTCTGGGTGTCCAGCTGTGTCTCCTTAGCTGAAAGCCCTGCCCTGGCTCCCACCAGGCTACTCTCTGTCCACCTTGCTCTTCATAAAAGTGATACTAAGTCACTATATATTTTGCTAATGATTATATTACATACCATATATATTACTCTATCAAAGCAATACACTATCACATATGATTGAACACGTTTATCACTTTTTTTAAACTTTTTGTTTTGAAGTAATTGTAGGTTTGCAGGAAGTTGCAAAAAAATAGTCCTGGGGATCCATCACCCAGTTTCTCCTAATGGTTACATCTTACATAATTATAGTTGTTTTATTGATGTTTTTTTAAAAAACATTTTTTATGGATTTTTAGAGAGAGAAGAAGGAAGAGGGAGGAGAGAGAGAGAGAGAGAGAGAGAAAGAGAGAGAGAGAGAGAGAGAGAGAAACATCGCTGTGAGAGAGAAACATTGCTCAGCTGCCTCCCG